ATATATGTCATGAAATGCATATATGCACGCAAGAAAAAATGGCTCCCAACACGTTTAACTACTCAATAATACATACATACATTAAAATAAATAACACATGTTGCATGCAACATATCAATATTCACCTATATATACGACTCCTCTACTTTAATTAACAAAATCTCTAAATACCAAAGTCCATAAAAAGTCTTGATATACTCTTCAACTTTATAATTTATTACAATTTATAGTTCACTCATTATAAAGCAATGCATATTTATATGATAATAGGAACCCACTTTTTTAACAAAGATACAACAAACTCTAAATCAAAAAATTATATAAGGTCCCCTTCTTTCCTACAAAAATACAATAAAATAAATAAGTTTAATGGAAAAAAGACTTTCTTACTACAGATCACAAAAGTCAAAAAATCAACCAGCGTTGGGCTCACAAAATAGTGACACGTAGGCCAAAAAGGGATAGAAAATTATTAATAAAATAAGTTCAGGGGGGTAATAGGACCTTAGTATAGTATAAGTGTGTCTCTGATATTTCGGGCATAGGTTGAGGGGGTACTTGTGCATTATCCCAAATAAAAATAATAAAACTAAAATAAGTCAAAAAGTAAGATAAAGAAAACTTAAAATGAAAAGAAGTAATATTTCAAATTGAATTAACACGTGTCACACAATGATTGATATGTGATTACACTTGTCATTTAAAATCTAGAACTGATTCAAAAATGATGTAATAATATATATTCAAAATAGTTTAGGAAATAATAAGATATCTACATAGTTAAAATATATTTTTAAAAATTCAAAACAACTTCAACTGTCTCTTAATGTCTTTTCTCTTTAACATATATTTAAAGTTCAGCTTTTCTATTGGCAAGATGTTAGTAGATGCCAGCCATCATAATTTGAAATTTAGATTGTGTATAAGTTCGGCTTATCTGTTGGCATGATGTTAGTAAATGCCTATCATAATTTGAAATTTTAGATTGTGACACTTTTTCTTAATACTTTTTGACATAGTAAAAATTAAATTTATTATATCAAATTTTTTGGTTGATATGAAAAAATGCATATTTATATCCCAAGTGAGAAAAGAACGTATAATAAAAATAATAATAATAAAAGTCGTTCTCATGGTATGTAAATGTTTGTCTTTAAAGATTGACATTATATTTTCATAATATCGAAAGTATTATTGAAATAACGTATATATAACTTACTAATTAAGAACGTATGACTTGTTAGTAATAGTTTTTTGTGTAGTCGTTGATCTTGTTCCGACACTCACCTTTGTACTGTAGAGGCTTCATAGATAGAAAATTTTGGAGAGTTTTTCAATTTCAGATATTTTATTTAAATGTTTCATACTCATTATATTCAGAAAAATTTTGATATTCAGAAAATTATTTTTAAACATTTCTTTCAATTGGATGTTTACATATGCTTGAGTTAGCATTCCGCTTATAGTCAACCAAAATAAAAAATTGCGCATGATTGTCAAGTGAAGAAACCTATCCCCTAGAATAAGAACTAGTTCTTGTAAGTTGGTTTAAGTCAGAACACAAACACTTGTTAAATTAAAAACCTTCCTCAATCAAGGAAGGAAAAACCTCGTTTTATTAATTCAACTGGATGATTTTATGATTACAACTCAATAATCAATAACCTCACCACTACAACAACTCTCGATTAACTATAATCGACTACTTCTACTCTCAAAAGGCCAAACCCACCTTTTGTTACAAACCTCACCAAAGCTCAACTCTACAAGAAGCCAAACCCACTTCTTGTACGAAAACGTAACTAACAACTCAACAATGAATCAAGAAAATAGTTTTACACGTTCAAGACTTTCTAACTCAAGAACTTCTTTGAACTTAGCAAGACCTATCGATCTTGGAAGGCTTTTACTTGATGAATAACTCTCGCTTTTCTCTCTATGTAAAAGTCGTGTCCTCTTCTTCTGTTGTTGATCTCTATTTATAGAGTTTTCTCCTGCCTTCTCGTGCCTTGAATCCTTATCAAATAAGGTAAGGAAATTGTAATTATAGTTAAACAAGGAGTACTGATTTTACCTTTTATTGTACAATCCTTTTTCTATACAACTTCCTTACTTAATGTATTAAGGATTCCTTATTTGTCTCAACTTGAATTTTCAGCATCTTTAGCTCTTGTACACTTAATTGTATACTTCTAGTGACTGCTATAATTAGTTCAGGTGGCTTCTTGTTGCGACAAATTTGGCGATGAATCTGGCAAACCTTTTTATCCATATATTTGCATTTCTTGTCTATTATCAAAACTTTAATTTTATCTGTTTATAGAATTATCAGATTCTAACATATTTTCCCTTTTTGATGAAGACAAACCTGTGTAATGCACTTATAATAATCTTCCCCCTTTTGACAAATCAAAAAGAGTCCAATATTAGCTAAACAAAATAAGATAACATCCACAGAAACAAGTGAAGCTCAGCCAGTTGAGCAAAATAAAGTGTTCTGGAAACACAAAGAGGAATATCAACACAGAGTAAAAAGAACCAGGTGCAAACATGATGCTTTTCAAGTTGAATATTGACTAGGCTTGGTGGAGGCAAAAGCAAGCATGTCCAGAACTCTGTCAACCCTTGCATTGTTAGCAAGCTGCTTCTGCACCAACTGATCTTTCAACCTGTGAATCTCAGCATTTGAAGTATGAAGTTCAGCACGTAAATTTTGGTTTTCCAATTCAAGGGTGACATACTTTTCTTCTTCCACTTTGAGTTCCCTGAGTAATTGAGCAACAGGACCAGATGTACGTGGAGAAACATTAACAACTTGCTCTGATTCCATGGGAATGCCACAATCAGCAAGAATGGTTTGAGTAAACATATCTGCACGAGTCAAAACCCTTCCTTCTCCCAATGGTACTTCAAACGCATCAAACAGTCTAGTTAAAAGATTCCCAAATGGTAATTGATGAGAACCTAGTTTAGGATCAACAATTCTAGCAAAGTGTTTGATGATCAATGTGGGCCAGTCAATACGTTCTTTACATTCAAGAGCATTCATAAGTCCCATGTCTTTATAGAAGCAATGTGACGTTGGTGACGCCTGGGCAGTATTCCCTTATGTATTATCTCAAAGAGAAGCTTATGAACTGATCCCATGATACCTTTTAACACAGTCTGTGCCCTAGAATTGACTCTACCTTGAGAAAACTTAGCTGGAAGACTAAAATGTTCATCAAAAGCCCAATGATAATCATTAATACCCACAAATGGTATATGTAAAATTTCCCCAAGCTTAGTTGCATCAAAAACAATCTCAACTCCCTTCACACTAGAAGATACTACATCCCCTTCCAAGATTGTTAAATTTGTGTAAAAAACTACTACTTCTTGTTCATAAATAAGATTAGGTTCAAGAAATAGTTCCTCCCACCCCTGAAACCGTAGTAACTCACAAACCTGCTTGACTATGTCCATTGATAGAATATCAAGATGAAAAGTTCTACCCCTAAGCACTGTTTTGGTTTGAAAATATTTTTTCCTTCCAACTTTGAGAAATCTATCCATATTTCTTTTTGCAGATTTTATCTACAAAAGTCAAAATCGAACTAAATCGCAAATCGAGTGTATAAAAACGAATCGAAAATTAAACTAAACCGCAAATCTAGTCAAATAAAAAAAACCCTGACTAGTGGTTTGGTTTGACTTGATTTGGTGTTGGAAAAAAAAATCCGACTATATTTGGGTTGGGTTGATTTCAACTAAAATAAACCAACCCGAGACCAAACCAACCCGACATTATATATATAATTTAAAATTTTTATTTTATACGTAAAAATCTTACTTTGATGTAAGTTTTTAAATATCTCTTATACTTTTTCACAGTTTTTATCTTTTACTATATTTATTTCATGTTTGGAAGTTAGAATTCTTAATAATCAAATAAAGATTCTAGTCCATACATGTTGGTAATTATAATAAAGTTTAAATAAAAATCAAATTAATAATAATTCAAAAAGCAAATCAATTCAACACTAAGAATGACAATAATATCGAATATTTATTTTTTAGTTTTACATAGATTTAGACATTAAAAATACATGATCTAATTTTCTTTTCTTTTAATATTTAGTCATGTAACTAATACTTACTTAACTTATTTTAGCATGATTTAGTACTTTAAATTATGATCAATTTCATTATGAGTGAGGTGTTAGAATTTGTTATGAACATCAATTGATCTATTCTAGTTCTAGTATTAACACAAAAAGAAATAAAGGAAAAAGGTCATCATATATTTCTTAACATTGCAGTTTAGCATTTATATACGCCTCGTTATAAAAGGATTGAGCACCGATATACGCCTCCACGAAGGGTTTCAATAGGCGTGTTTGTCATAGATGATGTACCTAGAAACGAGAATTAGGCAATATAGTATCAGAATATTCACTATATATAGTTTAATGAATATCCAAATTTCTATTATCTAGTTATTTCAAGGTTGTATCCAAATTTTTGTTTGTCTATTCTTTCTTATTATGTATGTAGTTCATGATTCTTGTCGTAGTAGTGTTTTATTATTATTATTACTATCATTATTATTAGTAGTATTTCAGGGTTGTAAGCTAAAATTTAATTAGTTTGTTTTGTTGTTAAATCTAAGGGTGGGCATTTGGTATTTCAGTTTGGTATCGGGTTTATTTTTTGGTTTTCGGTTTTTGTAAATTGTGTACCGAATATCAAATCGAAACATTTCGGTTCGGTTCGATTTTTGTTAATTCGGTTCGGTTTTTATTAATTCGATTTTTTTTATATTGGTTTTTTAATGGGCCTGCTTAGTGGGCTTTTTAAAATTTTAAACTTTACAATTTATTTGTTTGATTTTTCAACTTAATGGGCTAAAAAGTAAAAATAGACAATACATCAAAGAAGTGCATTACTAATTTACTACCAAATATCAATATGTCAATATGCCATTAGGCATTAACACCACAAATTTTAAATTCACAATATCACTAAAACACACAATTTTTAATTAACAATGAAACTAAAACAAAAGTTGCATTGTAGATTTGTAGTTAATGTCTTCACAAATACAACATAATAACAATCTAACAAGTAACATTAAAGTCTTTCATGAGCTCATAATAAACAATAATAAGAAACAAACAATGTATTTTAAACTTCTTGTCTTCTTCCATGAGATTACTTTCAATTCAAATGTCAACAATAACAAACAACAATAATGAGTTTCTTGACTTTCTTCCATGTCAACAAAATTATTTCTTCATTGTCTTGACCCTTGGAACTTTTAAGATAAAATCAAATATTAGAAACTTAGAATACTACTTTTAAGATTAAAAATGATATGATTAAATAAATGATGTATTAAACTCAACGCTTGCAAGTCAATCATAGATCAACAATGGAAGAGTTTCTTCCACTATTTGTCATCTCTATAATTAAGAAAAATAAACATGTCATACAAGATAGAACACAACAAGTATTTTATTTTTTAAAAAAATAAATAAGAAATAAAAAATCTTACCAAGTTCAATTTTTTCAAGAAACTCCAAACTTTCTTCAACACAAATAGGCTTGGTTTCTTGTCTAAGCCAATCTTGGACACAAATAAGACATTGCACACATTTGAGAGTCAATGAACTTCTAAAGGGATCTAGAATTCGACCACCAGTGCTAATTGCACACTCCGATGCCACACTCGACATAGGAATAACCAATACATCTCGAGCCAACTGTGAAAGTACAGAAAATCTAGGAGAATTAACTTTCCACCAACTCAAAATATCAAAATCTCCAGATTCAGGTTCTTGGTCTTCAAGAAGATATTTATCCAACTCGGATTTAACACCTAAACTTCCAGAATCATTCTTTTGTTTTTCATGTGCAACTTAGTTCTCAAAGAATTTTTGGACACATTTTGAGAAATACCACAAGCAGAAGAATCAGATGAGTCAGATGAAGATGGTTGACTTTTGGAACCTTTTCCATACTCACTTACATATATCGCAAACAAATCCCTCAAGTAAGACTCTACTTTCGTATTCACTACATTTTCCGTTTTCCAAGTAATTCTTCAAGAGCAAAACTAACATACACAAATTTATTGTGAGAATTCAAAACATAAGCAATAAAAATTATTTTGTTCATTCTTTCAGGAGTACCCCAATATTTCTTGAATTTTTCTTTCATTCCCAAAGTCATTTTACTCAAATCAAGGTCATCACTTGCTATACATAATTTCAAATAAGCATCAAGTGCACATATATCTTCAAAATGAACATTACAAGTAACATACCGTGAACCTGAAACTTTCAAAGTGAGTTCATAAAATTTTTCAAGAAACTTTGTGACATTCCTCACATTAGCCCAATCTTCATATTATTTTGACCCTGCGATACTTCCATCTTCACAAACATTAGTAGCAAGAAAAGAATTAAAATTACCATCGTAAAGATCAAACCTCTAAAAGCCTTCTCACACTTTTCTGCTGTGTTTAACATCAAATAGGTGGAATTCCACCTAGTAGGCACATCTAAAGACAACAACTTATCACATTCTATCTTTTGCATTTCAACACATTTCAAGAAATTTCTTGTCCTCGAAGAAGATGATCTAAAATATTTCACCATTTGTCTCACCCTTTGATAGAAGGACTAATTTCATTCAAACCATCTTGCACAATTAGATTAAGTATATGAGTCATACATCTCACATGGAAATGCTTATCTTCTATCAAATTAGTTTCCCACATATCTAATTTTTTGAACAACTCTAAAACT